GAAATGTGCACGGTGCGCATGGACGATGCGACGCGGACGCGGCTCCTCTATGGCAGTGACGACGACGACGACGAAGGGTACGGTCTTCGGTACAAGTTTACGCTGCGGGACGGCGAGGACGAGCAGGCCGTCGACTTGCCCGAGTACTTGATTCCGAACTCGCTCCTGCACCGACTGATTGCGCAGAACGGGTTTGAACTCGTGCTCCAGGAAAACTTTCAGTCGTTTGTCGCACTCCACAGCCAAGTGCCGCGCCACCGCGAGCTCCTCTCCAAGATGCACGTGCTCAACTTTAACGGCACCATCTCGGACGTCGAGTGGGACATTGTGAGCCTCTACCAAGTACTCGCGTTTCGAAAGCTCTAGTTGATACACTGATACTTTTTCGTTTCTGTCATTTGTGTCGTCCTTCTTCTTACGCATGCAAAGAGTGCGAGCTTGCAGGAGCGCTGCAAGCTTGTAGGAGGAATTGGCGTCGAGGAAGTCCAAAGGCACATCCTCGTTAAATCGGTAAGGAAGGTCTTTCGTAGATGCCAACTCGGTCACTGCGCCATTATTGTCGACAATGCTCCGGATTCAATTCGGGGTGACTTGCTACCGGTACCTTTTGACAATATTATTGGGGCACGCCAGCGATAGTGCTATAAGCATCATGTCTGCAGCGTAAGCGAGCTGCATTGATTGCTCAAGACACCATTCGAGCACTACGAAGCGGTTGGCGTTGGGCGATTGAACACTCGCCTGCTACCAGTTCATGCTATACCAGCTAGTCGCTGCGTCATGAGGTCTGCGCAAAGACGGCCCCGGTAGATTCGTGCATTGGCGACAAGGCTATGCATAGCGTTATAGCCAAGGGCTGGTGCAAGTCTGGCCTTTCTAATCGAGGTGCTGAATCCAGTTTGAACAAAACAGGTCAAGTGCGGCTGCCCGAACAGGGTGAGCTAGCAGGAACTTTTAAATGCGAAGCGTTGTTTACCGGTACGTATTTGCGACGACGGCGTGTTGGCCTACACGAAAGCCAACGCGCGACCATCGCTGCGCTGCGCAGACTCTTCCGGGCCAACGCGCCGTCGTCGGGCTGAAAATACGAGTTGATCCTGTGGGAGGCTGGTAGTATCGGTATTATTACCGGAGATTCCCACTGAACGTTCCTACCAGAAAAACACCGGGAATAAAACGCATTTGACCGGTGGTCTATCCGGGCTTTGGCCACGCAATATACGTGGGGAGTGAAATTCAGCTCCTGCCAATTTGTAATATTTGCAGCAGTGTCAGATATCTGGTAGAAAGGATATCCCGCAGTAAAGCGTTTACTCGTACTAATCTTTCGCCTTTTACTAAAGATTACCGTGGACGTCTTACAAACAATGCGGCTTCACTAATTTCTGACCTCCCTCTGGGAGGCCCCCCATTCCAAAAACCTCTCCAAATTATCAAACCACACCACTCGAATTTTCTTCATCCCCCTTCTCAGTTATATATATGAACGTGTTTCGCGTTATCTTTGTTGTTACGAAGAGTTCGCATACGTAGAGACTAGCAATCTCCTTCTTCTTCATTCGCTCAAGTGACTGAGCTATACTAACTAATTAACTAGGTACACTCACGCGGCGCGATCGAGTTGTTGGCCCGGTGACGGCGCGGCGCGTCGTTGGACGCATGCAGCGCATCGAGTGCGACGGGCCTGCACAAATTCATGGCAACCGTCACGCAGACAGCGAAAGTGCTTGGGCTGGACGGGACGCTGTTGCATCAAAGGAGTGCCGCAGGTATGGATATCCTCTGACGGGCTCTGGACACGAGATTGTGTGGTCAATGGAATGCGATCATCATCCTCGACGACCGGCTCGGGCTTGGGAGCCATCGCTAGTCCATCACGCGATCGACGAGGCGGGATGTCAGCCGCAGCGTGCAGACCGATACAGACGTGCCACGGTACCAGTGGCAGAGACGCGTCTGGAAGATCCGTGGCTACCGTAGGCTCATCCTTGGGTTCAAGAAAGGGCAGGACGTCTCGCGCCGGTGATGCTTGGCTCGTCGATGCCTCGACTTTGACTGGTGCGATAGTCGTCTCTGACTTTAATGCTGCATGCTCAGCGGTCAAGACCGCAGGCGGCCACGGGACTGTCACTGCTCGCAGAACGCCATCGGGGACCTCGCGAAAGTCATATCTAACACGACGTTATACGACGTTCGCGCTCCACTCGCCGATACATCATGATGGCCAGTACCGGATGGAGAGACGAGGCGTCTCAACGAGCGTCACGAACGTACCATGCGTCAGCGCATACGGACGGGTGCCTACGCACGGCGCATGAACCTTCTGGGCTCGGCACCGGACGCACCAATGTGCGCCACGCCGTCGTGCATGCATGCACCGTAGTTAGCGCACGTCTGGCTCGCAGTCGTTGCCACTGTGACGCCGTCGCAAGTCGACTCAAAGACAGCAGACCATCCGTTGCGCAGGCGCTTGGACGTGGCACAGTCCACGAGTGCGCATGCGTCAGCTAACGTGTTGCCATGAAGCCACAGCGGCGACGATCTACAAGGTGCACATGCAGGCTAGCCAGCATCACTCGGCCATCGTACCCAAGCTCGATTCGGTCAAGACCCAAGGCGATGAGCTTCTCCAGCACGGATGGCAGAACGTGGTGCAGCTGGAGCATGAGCTCGCGCATGAGGTCGTCGATCTTTCAGCAAAATGGATTGTGTTGCGGACGATGTCGTCGTATCCGGATGGCTAACATCACGCAACTGAGCTCGACGTGGTGTACTGTCCCTTGTCCAGGCTAAACGCTGACTACCGACCAGGGCCATGACTGCGGCTGTGCCTATGCGTAGGTGATGGGTCATGTCTGCGTACGTGCCATCGTCTGTGTCACTGGCAGTGCCATCTAGTACAAGTAGTCCTCTGCCACGCTTTTGCTGCCAAAATCTTTGAATCCGGATAATACTGCTGATATCCGGCGTTCCTGCTTGAAAAGCTATCTCGCGACGATGGTGTACGAGGTCCGGCTGAAGCTCGGGACGGACGACGAGGGCGTGTTATGGCCGCGCCGCCCGCAGGTCGGTCCGTCGGGTCTCCTCGGTTGCATGCGCAACCTTCCTCTCCGGACGTACAAGGCC